GGGACGCTCAAACCAGACAACTGCAAGATGCTGTCACAAATGTGGAGAAGCATTTTGGAGAGCTGTGCCAAATCTTTGCTGCTTATGTACGGAAAACTGCCAGACTGAGAGACAAAGCAGACCTCCTGGTGAATGAAGTCAACGTGTATGCCTCTACAGAGACCCCAAATTTAAAGCAGGGCCTGAAAAACTTTGCTGATGAGTTTGCTAAACTTCAGGATTATCGGCAAGCAGAGGTATGGAATGAGGTCAGAGCGTCATTGATGAATGAGCCAGGAAGTAGAGGATGAAGGAACCCCTGAAGACTTTGATTATAATCTACCTTACTGCAGTGGCAAACGCACACTTGATGATAAATGCATATTTTCTTGTCTTTAACATTGTGTTAGTCTACTAAAGGGAAGCTTTTTTGTGATTTACCGTTTCAAACTAAAATTTAGGGTGTATTTGAAGTCTTTCCCATTTGCCAGCTTTGGCGAAGGGGAGCCCTTGTACAGAGGGTTTTAAACCTAGTGCTTATGGGGAAAAAAAAAATCACGACTTGTGTTTTGTGTGCACTTAAGTACATTTAAAAGTATGATGAAGATGGAAAATGTTGAGAATGGCAATGTGAATGACTGAACTGTTACTAAATGCGCAAGCTATTACTGATGTTTTCATGATCTATAGCCGACCAATGGCAAGGCTATGATTTATAACATAGTGAGACACTGTGAGGTGAGGTTGGTTGGTTTGTTTTGCTTTTCTTTGAGTGGCCAGGAACTTGTGATTGTTTTCTTTCTAATTTTTTTATCCCTTTAATATTTCATAAGTGCTTTCACTTGTATTTATTTTGTTTCAAGACTCAAGTTGCCCAGTTAGAACTCCATTGCTTTTTTTCTTCTTTTCATCAGTGCTTTTGGTTCTTTTTTTAAAGCCTAAAAAAAATTTCAGTTACCAAAAAGTAAAACGAACACTAATATCTGAACCCATCATTATTATACATACAAAAATTTGAGTAAAAAACTCTCTCCGGTACCTTTTAGGAAAATGTTGAGTTCTTGTCATAGACATTTCTCAGTTATACATGAATACACAACTGGGCATTTGTTTCAAAACTAATTTACAATCACAGGTAATTATAAAATCTTATTGTAGCCAATAATTTCCCCCTTTTCTAGATTAATGCTATTATCAAATAGCAAAGTGAATTGATTTACATTTGTTCTCCTTTTATTTTCCTTGCTTACCAAATGGTGGAGGTGCTAATGACAAAAGGTAGGCAACAGAAAGGAGAACAGGAAAAAAAAAACCAATATGGTAATCCTTATACTATAGAGTCAGTGTATGAATTATAAGAAATGATATAGACTAAACTCTCCTGATTATTCATGGTTTTGACATTGGGATTCCAAATATTTAAAAGTTAGGTGAGAACTTGATTGTTTTTCTTCATTTTCCTAAAATATTAATATTTCCTAAAATATTAAATGAAACATTTTGTAAAATTTGGTTTTCAAAAACTAAAGGAAAACCAATATGAAATGAAATGAAATGATCTTACATTATATAAATATGTATCAAAAAAAGCTTTCCCTGCCATAAAAATACGTGTTCATTTTTAGCAATTAAATAAATGTCATTTGCATTACCTGTTCTGACAGAGAAAATTTTAATGTCCAAGAGTTGTTTTTCTTACGCTTTATTTATATATGCACTTGCCTATTTTGAAAAAGTTTCTTCAGTTCCTTCTACTAATTTTATTAGTAAAAAAATCATTTAAATTACTTTGTTATTAAAACCATGTTTAAGGAAAACTGATTAATTCTGGGTAAAAAAAATACAGCAATATACTTTCATCAGCAATACAGACCACTTGTTATCTAGGGTTTGATAATTCACAAATGGTCATCAGAAAAAAATTGCAGCTAATATTGTAATCCCTAAGCATTTTTGCTTTTGAGGCTTGTTTTCAGTATGCTAGATCTTTCAGCTTCAATTTTCTGGAAAGATCTAATATCTGAATATTTAGTCTAACATTATGCTAAACAACTGAAAATGGTAGCTGTATTAAAATTTGAGATGTCTTGAAAGGTACCTGAAAACTACTACTAAACACTAAGCTCCTTGGAAATCTCAGACTTTTTTTTTTTTTTTTTTTTTTTGTCTTTCTTTTACTGTTACTGTAGAGCTTTTTAACGTATTTGAGTTTATATTCTGTCTTCTCACCAATTTCTGGTGAGTATCCTTTTACTCAAAAGATGGATTAAAAAGTGACTTTTAATTTAAAATTTTAAAATTAATCTGTACAGTGATTATTTCAAAATAAACAACATTTTATTTCAGCATTTAAAATTTGATATCTTTATATGTTTCTTTTCAGTTATRTTTTATAATAATTTTCAATAGGTTGAAAGACTTGAAGCCAAAGTAGTTGAACCTTTGAAAGCTTATGGAACCATTGTAAAAATGAAACGGGTAAGTAAATCTATTTTCTTATCCTATTATTAGGTATTCTGGCAAAGGGCATGAGGTTTCCAACTCTCCTTTTAATATAAAATACAAATTACATGGAATCATTCTGTTTCCATACTCTGAAAGATAATTTTTGGATATTTAAAAATAATGAAATATTTTTAGTGAGCTTACTAAGTATACTACTGTAGCAGCATAAGACATTACTATGGAAGTTTAAACATATTTAATATTTATAGTCATGAAGACTGTATGGACAGAAATTGTTTTATTAGATGAATATGTTTATTTTTGTTTTTATATATTTTTCAAAGCAGATATGACACTTGTATTTTTAAAATGAATGTGACAAAAAGTTCTATTTTTAAAATCTATAATTTACATGTAATAAAATTCCTTCCTTTGTAAGTGTTCAAATATATATGCCTGTGTAACCACCACCACAATCAAAAGTATATATGTAAATATATTGTATGGTTGTAGCTTTGCATTGAGTGTCATTATTTTGAGAGATTTTTAAAGAAACATGCATGCTCTTTCTCTCCCTTTTTCTGATACACCCCCCTGCAATAATGATAACTATGATAATAGTGCCTGAATGAAAATAAAAGCATCTTCCTTTCATAAAACAATGTGTCTTATTTATTAAATCAGAAATTAACAAAAAATGCTTATTTGCAGGATGACCTCAAAGCAACACTAACAGCAAAGAATCGAGAAGCTAAGCAGTTAAGTCAATTAGAAAGAACACGGCAACGAAACCCATCTGATCGACATATAATTGTATCCTTTGAATTCTGGTCTTAAAAAAGTGTTTTGTAAGGTATGCAGTACAAAAGTAAATGTGTATGGAAATTATTCATTTATAGTTTTAAATTGTGGAGACTTTTAATATAATGCTGAAAATGAAAAAAAAACTGTATTTAGAAGTTCTCACTATAGAAATTAGCTCATTGTAAAGAGATTATACCACCTAACTCAATTCCCTTATATTGTTTCCACAAACAAACAACCCACTCATAAATGCAGATGTTTTCATAGTAAATTCAAATTTTTGAGTTTTTTTTCCATGGTGATTACTAAACATTAATTATAAAATTAAAGACCTATCATTACTGCTAATATATCAATGCCTTTCTGTCCCACTTTTGAAAAGAGGAAAGAAAAAATCCTATAATAATTCCCTTCATCCTTTAAAAAGTAACTCATGTGAAACCATAATTATGACTTTCAGCCAAATACCCTCAGGAGTTTCAGAGAGTATACTGAGGTCCACAGATGGACACAAAAGAATCTAAATAGGAGTATCTGCTGAAACAAGGTCCTTATGGTAAACATTACTATTTCCTAACCTAGAATGTACCTTGTTCATTACTAATAAAAACATAAAATAGTTGCTAAGTGCTAGCAATGAGGATAGGTAGGACTGTGTAGAAAACACTAACTTATCCCTGCTGCCTCTCTTTCCCATTCCTTATGTGTCTCCTTCCTACTTCCTTAAGGTTGTTACTACTCAGCTCAGCCAGAAACCACATGAGGAGTGGCTCTTTGGGGGCATTTGAGGTTCCAGAACACCTCCATTCCTGAGGGGAGTCCCTCGAACAGTGATCTGGGGCTGCGCCAGTTGCCTGGTCCTTCTTCCCATGGACCAAAGGTACATAAGCCCAACCYTATACTTAAGAAAAATGGGCAGCCTAAGGGCTGGGAATACCCTTTGGAGGCTCTGATAGGAACATCTAGACAATTGTTGAGGCTTAAGATCTCAAACTAGAGATTATAGAATCCATTTTAAGCAAGTCAAACCAGAGAATGCTGGAAAATTCATGACTGACACCTAGAAATCAAGTCAGAAGCCAGGCAAGAGCACCAGTGTTTAAGAATTAAGCTAGATATCAATATTTTCTTTGTTTTTTTCTTGGCGGGGAGGGCTATATGAAGACAGGTAAAATATAACATCTGGAATCCCAAGCAACTGKCAATTAAAACAGGAATAATAGTATTGATACTCAATACAGAAATGAAAGCATTTCTAGATGAAGATTTTTTCTGACTTAAGTGTTCTGTATGGGAAGAATTAAAAGCAACAATAGAAAAGATTATTGTTATAGGTGAATTGATTTGCTTACTGCTAAGATCTACAACTTATGTATTTTGACAACCTGAGACTAGAAAATAAATGCAATCTACAGATAAATGTATTCAACAAAAATATAAAAATATTCAATCACAGCATCATAGTATTTTTACCAGGATACATCCTTAAAATTCAACTGACTCTTTGTTCAGAAGTATTCTAAAGTTCAATATGTAAAATAAAATGAAGTCCCTCTAATAAAGATAATGAATCCGGGCTACAGATATATATAGCTCAATCAGTAGAATGCTTGCCTCGTAGGCACAAGGCCCTGGGTTCAATCTCCAGTACCACACACACACACACACACACACACAAAAAAAAGATAATGAATCCTAGATCTTTGCCAGCTCACTACTAAGGCCAGCCCCAGGTGACTTCGGAACAAGCTTCCTGTAACAAAGTTTGAAAAACACCAATCTGGCTCCCCCTTTTATAATTATCTGAAACTCTTGACTGATTCCTTTAATATAATGATAGCTGTATCTTAATATTTTAATAGCATATTCTACTCAAATTGGTATACTGAAGAATTTTGAAGAATTTTCAGTGAAAGGAAGAAATATTAAAAAATCTATATTCGCTTTCCTAAAACTAGCTGTGAGACTCTGGATGAGTTATTGTGCTCAGACAAATTTATTTCAGACTTTCAAAAATGAATACAAGTTGCTGAAGAATGGTAAGTTAAGATAGAGGTCCCAGCTATGGCTACTGTCCCCAATGCTTTCCTAGTTTAGTGAACTCTACATATACTTACATGTTTTAAGGTTTCAATATCAATAATTGGGAATGAAAAAGACATGAATCAAAAGGAAATAGTCACAAGAACTGAATCAGTTATATTTAATAGTATTAGGAATTAATTTGCTTGAATATTCTCAGCAAAACATTGACATCAAATACTGATTTTTTTTCATTATAAATCTCCAAAACAGTTCTATATTACATTTCTGTGACGACAAACTCCTAAGCAAAAAAAATATATATGTATGTGTGTTCATATATATATATATATATATATATAATACCACTTATGATTAAGCTGAGAGTTTCTGTGGTTAGACTTTACATTCCATATGATAAATGTATACACAGATATAAATGAATTCATTATTTAGTGTTTGGTATCTTGAAATTGTGTAGCTAAGTATATAGTTCTATAAGAATACATGAGTTTAGTTTACTGAAAAAAATTGTTCTCTTTGAAATGTATTTTTTCCTTTATGAAAAATTCCAGTCACAGGTGGGTAATAAAGTGGTGTATCAAGAAATGGATCCTTATAGTAAACCCTTTTACTTATTTCAATTTATACATTTCCTTAAAAAAGAAACCAATGGCTAAATGTCACAATATTACATATCATAGAAATTTAATGACAAATGCAAATTTTCCCCAGTTATTAAATGATTACATATGAGACTTTTTAGCAAATATAATTCTAGCATAAGAAACAACTTGATTAGAATTTAATCAGAAAATTGGGCTATGACTTTAAAAATCTCTGTTATTGTTGAAGAAAACAACTTAAATGTGTTTGGGCAACTATTGTCTAAAGAAAGAGATGTTTAAAGAAATAGATATGAAAACTGAACAAACTATGTTATGTACACATACTAATATGTAACAACAAATCTCACTGTTATGTATAATTTTAATGCACCAATTTTAAAAAGAAGTACATGATTAAATTGGAAATATTCAGCATTCAACAGTACTTTGTCACTGCATATGACTGTTGAGTTCTTGAAGTGCAACTAGAATACCCTAGGAACCACTTTCCACATTTGTATTTAAGTTTAATTAATTTAAATGTAAATAGCTATATGCAGCTAGTGGTCACCATATTGACTACACAGCACAGATCAAGATAGTTGTAGTACATTTCAAGCATACATAAAGCAAAGCATTAAATTAGTTATTAGTGTACAAATTTTTTAATATGTTCAAGCATACATAAAGCAAAGCATTAGTTATTAGTGTACAAATTTTTTAATATGTATATGCTACATAGAAATAGTGTAATCTTAGTATCTGAGATATTTGTAGGGTATATACTATTCCACTGGATTAAGAATATTATAAAATTAGAACATTTGAAGAACTATTAAACCTAAGCAAGGTGGTATAGTAAGAGACTTTAGATATATACTTGCTAACCTTAAATATTTCAATTATGATAGATAATTGATAGGGAGAGAGAAAGGGAAAGAGGGAGAAAGGGAAGGAGGGAAAGAAAGACAGGAAAAGAAAATTAGACTCTCAGTTGTGGAAGGAAGGAAAGAAAAGAAAAAAATTAGACTCAGTTGTGGAAACTGACATAACAACAGGTCCTTCTACTGTGTTTCTCTTAGTCCTATAGAAAGATGATTCCATCAAATCCATACAATAAATAGTCCTATGAGATAAACTTTATTGTAYTTTATAGATTGAGATAATACTTGAGAGAATTGAAAATACTAATAAATCCCACGTCCTTTCTTAATAAAGTGGTAAGGGGAAGAGAGAGAAAATAAAGGATAAGAATGATAAATGTTATAAGTAGTGAAATACAAGTATTAGAAAACAGAAAATAGTCTCACAGTAAATCTTTCTAGAGTGATAGGAAAAAGATGATTTTTATAGAAGGGAAGGATTTTTGTTTGAAATCATGAATCATGTCACTTAATATTTTCAAAATTCTTTATTCTACATGTCTTATTATATAAATCATTTTATTGTATGTGGTAAAATATAATATTTAACAATTTATACTATTATGTCAAAAGCCAATACTACATTAGTAACACGAATAGACTCAACAGAATGGATATTGATTTGATATTTTATATCTTTGGTTGGGGAATACTTCTACAGGCAGAATCTGAATTACAGAGAGCAACAATGGATGCTACCCGAACAACTCGTCATCTGGAGGAAACTATTGACAATTTTGAAAAACAGAAAATTAAGGATATAAAGGTAATTAAGAATTAAGTTTCAAAAAAAGTTTTCTAACCTTATTTTTTCAAACTTATGAAAAATTACTGATTTTTTTAKACCATACTCTCTATGAAAAAAGATGTTATAGATCAAAACATATAATGTGAAAATAATGGTAGGCAAAGGAGCTGCATTTCAACCAGAGATTAGACATTCAACTTTTTATCCCAAAGACTGTTTCAGGGAAACTAACAGTATGTTTTTATGTATCAAATGGCATTTGATATGTAAATTATCTTTCAATCTTCACAATAGCCCCACAAGAATGGGTGGTGTTATTAAGAAATTAAGCAGAGAGCCTGTAATCACAGTATCTCAGAAGGCTGAGGCAGGAGGATCCCGATTTTGAGGCCAGCCTTAGCAAATTTAACAACTTAGTGAGACCCTATCTCAAAATAAAAAAATTTTAAAAGGGCTGGGAATGTAGCCCCAGGGTTCAATCCACAATACAAAAATTTTAAAAAAATAATTAAGCAGAGGTACTACTTCGCCAGAGTACCATAGACAGAAACAAGCTATAAACCAGGTTTTTAAAAAAATCTGTGGTTTCCATTGTAAAACACTATCATTAATATCTATTACACAAGACTTTCTAATAGCTATTATCAAATAATAGGGTAATAGCCAACCATATAAATTTTCATCCACCACCACAATAAGGCGTTTTAGTCAACAAAATCACAATCATTGCCTTATTTCTTGTAACACATCATTAGACAGAAACCTTTTTACGGGATCATGAAATTCAACAGGTCTTTGGTGGCTTTTTGTTTATGTATCTTGGAAAGAAGGACTGATTATAACTACTTTATATACTTGAAAAAAATTCACCTAAGGATGTCTTTTTGGCTCACTGAAAATTTTCCAGTAGCAAGTTTTAAAATTTTTCTTCCCACTTATTACTAGAAAGAAGCTTTCCTGCTTTTATAAGGTATAATCTTATCAATAAAATAAACATTATTTGCCAGTTAATTATATAATGCCTCTCTGAAATCCGTGAAACAATACTCATTTGCATCTTTAATTTCCTATCATAATTTCAAAAGGATTTCAGAACTTTACTTTCTCAATTCAGTCACAGGCTTTGCACTCTGCTGTGTAAGACTTTAAGGAGGCTGCCCTGAGAAAAATGCTTTTACCAAGCTGAGAGAATAAAGGGGCGGGGGGAGGCAAGAAGTTCTACAATTAATATCCTCTCACGGGAACTAGAGGAACAAGGCTTTTTTAGATAGTTATCTTTAACATGAAAAATGAGAATGGACACTTCGGAGGTATGCCTGATTCCACTGCTGCCTAGGGGCTTCCTAGTTAGTAATGCGAATTGAGTTTCTCCCTCCACCACTGACTCTTCCTTGTGCCTGCAAAACATTTTTACACATGGAAATTCATCTCTGATTTTTGAGCTCACTTTGTGTTCCACCTGCATGCTTGCTAACTCTACAAGTGTTAATTCTTTTGAGCATCACTAAGTTAACTATTTGAGGCACAGAGGATGAGTGCAGAATTTCCAGAGAAAATGCCTGCTACTGGGATTTCCTGAAATGGGATATGGAGGGGCTGTACAAAGAGCTTCCAACACCTTCTCCTTGCCTGCAGTATCATGCCCCTAAAAACAGAAAGTCCTCTGATGGTTCTGGGATAGGGTACAGGAAGAAACCTTCACCTTTAAAAAGTTGAGATAAGCCAGACACAGTGGCACATGCCAGTATTCCCAGTGTCTCAGACAAGATCAAAAGTTTGAGATCAGCCTCAAAACTTAGTTGTCTCAAAAAAAAAAAAAAAAAAAAAAGCGTGAGCGAACAAGCGAGTGTGACCTGGGGACTCAGCTCAGTGGCACAGCGCCTTGCATTCAATCCCAGTTCCAAATTCCAAGTATAAGTTTACTGATTTTGTGTTTGGGGCCATCACCAATTTGAGAATATTTTCATCACCTCAACCTTGGACTGTCAGCTTCTAAATCCCTGCCTACCTCCCACACCTAAGTAGTCCATATCTTATGTGTCTATGGATTGGAATCATGCATAGTATTTTGTGACTATTTCACTTATCATGCTTCCAAGGCTTATCCATGTTGGAGCATGCATCAGTACTTCTTTTATGGCCAAATAACATTCCATTAATTATATGGATATTGTTTTGTTTATCCATTCATCAGTTAGTAAATGTTTGGATTGTTTCTACCCTTTGGCTATTAAGATTATTAATGCTGATGTAAATAAAAATTCATGCCCAGGTTTTTGTGGACATTTTTTTCTTGCATATATACCTAGAGGTGGAACTATCGAATCATATGGTAACTGAGTAGCCAGACTTTTCCAAAGCACCTGCACCACTGTACATCCCCACTAGCAGCATATGTGGTTTCTAATTTCAGTACTTCCTATTCATCAGGCTTCTTGATCGCACTTATACTACTACTGGGTGTAAAAAAATAAATGGCTATTTCSATATTTTGCCCATATTTTAATTTTTTTATAATTGGGTTACATTTTTGAGTTGTAAGGGCTTTTTAGTGTATTCTGGATAAAAGTTCCTTATAAAAATTTGAAATTTTCTCCCATTCAGTAGCTTATTCACTATCTTAATGGTGTCGTGTGAAGCACAAATTTTTAACTTGTGATGAAGTCCAGCTTATTTTGATTTGTTGCTAAGACTTCGTTACTAAATCTGTGATCCTTGTTTTCTTCTAATAGTTTTAATTAGTTCTTAATACAAGAGTATTTGAGTCTTTTATCCATTTAATTCTTGTAATGGTGTGCACTAAAGATTGAATTTCATTCTTTTGCATTAGATTATCCAATTGTCATACTATCATTTGTTGAAGAGATCACTCTTTCGCCATTGAATGGTCATATCCTTGTTGAAAATTAGATGTTTTTACTTCTGGACTCTCTCTCTCATTGATCTGAAATTATCCTATGCAGTACCACACTATCTTAACATTGCTTTGTGGTAAGTTCTAAGATCAGGTTGTGTGAGTCTTCCTATTTTCTTTTTAGATTGATTTATCTATTCTGGAGCTGTATTAATTGTAGAATCAGTTGGTCAATTTTCCCAAAAAGTCAGCTGAAATTTTAATAAATATTGCATCAAATCTATACATCATTTTGGGAATAACATCTTAAGACCGATTCTTCTAAACCATGAATATGGAATAGTTAGACTGTTAAATTTTCCWTTACATCTTTAAACTATATTTGTAGTTTTCCGTATATGGTGAAGTAGTTGATGTGAGCAAGAAACAAATTTTAATAGCTTCCTTTTATTATAAACATAATATCATGATTTTTCCATAAAATTATAGAGACAAACAAGAATCTCAGCATTCAAAAAATAATGCTAGCATTTTGGTTTAGATCTTTCCACACTTGATCCTATGCACATATACCAGAGATATAGTAAATAAGATTTAATAACACACATCTCTTGGGCACTGACTATATAGCAGGTACCATTTTATGTAAATAAACTCATTTATTCCTCACAACATACTTATGAGGGAAGACACTATTATAAATATAAAATTTATTGTGGACACATTCATGGTAAAAAGTAGAGATCCGTGTCATTCCTCTTTGATTTACTCAGTATTTTGTAATATGGATATTAATTTAGCCAGGCTTAATGAACATCTAGGTTATTTTGCAATTGCAGATGGCTTTTTTCAACCTTTGTTCTGGTCCAGTTATTCTCTTGGGATAAGTTGCCAGAAGCGGAGTTCCTGGTTCAAAGAACACACACACACTAATTGTAATAACAATTTTAAACCTTATGTCTGCAAAGATTGAACAGTTTCTTTTCCTATTAGACTTTGCAAAAGCATACATGCAGCTGATGGGTAAATAAAAAAAAAATCAGTATTATAATTTCATTAGTACTGTTAAAACATTAAAGCATTTTTCATGTGTCTTATGATAAACTATTTCTTTAGGGGATGCTGCCCTTTTTTGAAACAACTCTTTACATTAAGAAAATTAACTCTAAAGATATGTGTTTCAAATATATTTCACTTTTACTGCTTATGGCATTTCTGCCACCTTAAACCTTTGTTTCTGTTGATAAGTCTATTGGTGGTTTTGGTTTCTGCCTTGGTGTCATACTAGAATTGTTGCTGTCCCCAACATTACATAAATATTTGCTTATGTTTTCTACTTTTGCGTTTTTAGAATATTGTTTAATATTTTTCTTGTAATTATGAGGTAGATATATAACTTTTTCCTTTTGATAGATCTGTTGTCATCCTTTCTTGAAGAGCATCTACTCTAAGTTTTCATTTCCCCTTGCTTGCCTGTTAATCATACATTTATAGTGTTCAGAAATCAATTTTATTAAACAAAAATATGTAGTGAAATATCTTACTCCACGAAACATCTTGCTGGAAGCTCTAATATTAGTTGGTAAATAATACTTTCTAACTTAGCCGATTTACTTCTTGAACAGGTGATATGGCTTGTCACTTTCACTCTCCRGTTTTCCCTGTAGGAGTTTCCACACTCTTAAAGGCACTTGATTCCTAACTGGTTAGCAATTATCTTAGGGAGATAAGCAATTAAGAAAGTCTCAGTCCTGGTCAGAAGCTATTCCACCTCTAAGGCATCCTTGGGTATCTGGCGAGTCTAAGCATCAAATCCAAAACTATAACTTAGCATCATGCCGTTTATAAAAGTCAGTTGCTAGGTCAGTATACCAAAGCCCTCTGTGACCTATATAATAAGTGAAATAAGAGTCATTGTTGGTCATAATTAACAATCTCTTATCCCAGAATACAGTTTTTTGTTTTGTTTTGTTTTTTTAACATCAGTTGGAGTTACTAAAATACCAGCTTCAAAACTTAACTGGAATACTTAAAGGCATGTACCAGAGAACTTGCTGGCATACATTTTAGTCAGATCTTTATTTTCATAGCTGTCAATTACCAGGTATAAAGATAACTGATAAAGAGTATGACCAGTAAACATTTTGTATAATTTTAAGGTTCTGCCATAAAAGGTGTTTACAAATATTTCTATTTTGGAGTATCTTTTGTACTTTGTCTTGTAGAAAAACAGGATACGTTTGTCTTTCATAAAATGTAAAGACTGTAGTAGGGAATAAGTACTTTTAACTACATTCATAAAACAATTTAAATGACTAAATACAAATCTTTGTTTTTCTAGAATATATTTTCAGAATTTATCACAATTGAAATGTTATTTCATGGCAAAGCTTTAGAGGTCTATACTGCTGCCTACCAGAATATACAAAAGATTGATGAGGATGAAGATCTAGAGGTAGGACTATGTCTAATATGGTTCTGTTAATATGAAAATGTTTCAAAGAAAATATTAGTTTGTATAAGTAAAAATATCTCAAAAGTTAGAACACTACAATGGTGATTATTATGTGCAGTCCCAAACACATGACTTCTCATTTTTCCATTTATTTATTTTTTAACTTTTCAAATTAACCACAGTAAAGTTCCAAGACAATTTATAGTAAAACATAATCTACATCAAACTATTACATGAAATAAAAATTGTGCATTTTCTCTGGTGATATAAATACTAAAGTGTACTTAACATTGATTTAGCAACATTTTGAATGTTTATGCCATACATGATACCCAAAGCTTTTCATTTATTTTCTTATTCAATCCTCTCACAAACCTATGAGATAGTTGCTGTTTAGTCTCATTTTACAACTACAGAAGCAGGCTTAGAGGCTTTAAGTTCATTATCTGTGACCACTTCGCTATAAATACCAAGATCTGAATTCCAATTGGCTTTGTGTAAATTACTAAGCCATGAAATAAATTTAGGTTTTATGCAGGCTTGCTGACAGGAGTTTTACTTAAATGCAAATAATTCTGACTGTCCAATTAACAATTAACTTTGGCCAATCAGTAAGTGTCAAAGCCTGGACTTCAGTAAGCACACCCAAAGAGCAAATACCCTACCTTATCTTTCCAAAGGAGAAAAAAAAATGGCTTTAAAGTGTTTTTGCTAAATGAGAGAAAATATTCAAGTTAACCAGAATTGTGTATTAATAAATGGCTGATTTGGGAGTGTCTCCCATTTGCAGATTCTGCAGACTACCCTCCCTCCCCATCTTTTAAAAATATTCTTAACTATCCATAAACATATCCTCTAAGCCTTCTTGTCTGATTAYTCAACTGTTTCCAGGAAACTAAAATGAAGAAAGGTGCATGTTTATTATGTTTGTTTCTGATTTTATGTCAGTTATGCATATGTGATCATAGTTATATATATCATTTGTTAACAGATGACCTCATAAGTGTAACCTGCTTTAAATACTAAATGTTTTTTTCACTCCTTTTCATGTTGTTTTCAAAGAGATTAAGTTTTTATCTGTCATTTATAAAATAGCAAATGTTTCTATAGTGATTACTTTGGGCTGATTTATACATTTTGGCTATGCTAGTTATTTTAATCTTCCTATCTTCATTTCTATGGATGAGAAAACCAAATCACAATGAAGTTAAACTTCCCAGAGATCCCATAGCTTGTTAAGTAGCAGAGCTGGGGGTCAAATTCAGAGGTCTGATTACAAAGCTGTTTTAATCCTCTACACCATACTACCAGAAGTATGATTTTGGGTGAATCACATGAATCATTTCCTGCAAGAAACAACACTGTACTAAGGGGCAGGTTAAAAATGATCCCCTACACTTTCAGTCTTTTTCTAATACCTTTCATATTCCACTTGTGAACTGATTCTAAAGTTCCTTGAAGTCCTTTGTTCCCTAAGACTTTTCCCTCTCATTCAGGGGCTTCCTTTAATTCCTCTTACCACTACTCTTAATCACCTCTTAATCAGTCTATGGGAGACAGACAGATCCATGAAAACTAAAAGTCCCAGGGTGTGTGGTTGATGTGTTTTTAGTGGTACTCACAGATATAATTTATTACAGCAAAAAGCACATAAATAAATAAAGTAAAATCAATATGGGGAGAAGGTGAAAGAGGCAAAACCTGGAGGAAACCAGGGCTAGGCTTCCAAGATCCCTCTCCCAGTTTATTGAGCACCTGTGTTTATTGAGCACCTGTAACAGGCATCATTCTAAGTGCTGAGGATTTAATATTGTGAAAAATGGTCTAACTGATCAAAGCAGGAATTTAAAATATACCAGGAAGTTCAAACATTAAAACAAAACAAAAAAATACTGTGTAGCTGTTTAAGTTTTAAAATTCCATTAAAAAAATGCTGTATATGATAATAGCATTCCAAATAGTCTCCAGAATCAAAGACTTGAGAGATAAGGAGGATGACTGACAAAAAAGTCCTGGGGCAAGCTGCTGTGAATATAGAGCAGTGTATTTTAAATAGTTCACAGTACAGGGGAAAGCACTTCTTCAATAAACCAAAAGCAGTAAGTAGGTCCCAAGAGGATAAGGACCCTATAAATACAAGGATTCTTGGAAATACAGAAAATACACAGGGAGGGACAGAGAAATAATTCACTGTTCTTCCAGGTAGTCCATGTTCTATGAGAACCACTGAGATGATATTTCAGCATCAGTCAACTTTTTGCAGTTAGGCACTCTGATTACATTCAAACTATCTTACCTTATTTGTTCTTCACATAAGTAATGTTGGGCCCCTTCAAATGTTTTCCCCTTCAAAAATCACTTCTATGCAATCATTTCAAATCTTGAGATCCACACCTAGAAGAGATCTTGGATCATGTTGGAAAATGCACTATTACCAATAAATTAATCTTTCTGTTGATCTGTTCAACAGCAGATTTGTTGTTTTGCAAGAGATTAATTGTAATAAATATTTAACTGTTTTAAGCTTATCCTAAAAGTTCCATGTTTTCCATTTTCTGCTTATTTCAATCTTTGCTAGAGATGTTTAAAATGTTCAAATAAAAAATATCAATTGATTAATAAGTCATCCAGTTTTTATATCATACCTGGACACCAGTGTTCTGTCTGGCATCAAAATAGAATTTAGTCCTTAGAAACCTGCTAACCTAATTAGTATCCCAGAATTGCCCTAAAATACAAGTTTTGTCTTCTAAGTTTCCTTTTGTGTCTTGCAGTTCTTAAAGGTTTAAAGGAATGTGTACAGAAATCACTTGATTTGGGTCTCCTTTTTTCTCTCCCCACAAAATGGGGTTTAAGTTCATATTAAATCATTCTTTAGGCAAAAGTGAATTAAATTATCTATTGGGAGGAACTTGCAAAAAGAAAACAGCGTTTCCTACAGTAGTTGTGGCAAAGTTTTAAAGGAATGTGTACAGAAATCACTTGATTTGGGTCTCCTTTCCCCTACAAAATGGGGTTTAAGTTCATAAATTATCTATTGGGAGGACTTGCAAAAAGAAAACATCATTTCCTGCAGTAGTTGTGGCAACAGATACTTAATCCATTAAAAACGGACATAACTATATTCTTGAGAATAAGAACAGTAGGAGCTACTGACCAGAAAACAGGGGAAAGCAAAAGATAGCATTTGACTTGGCTCTTGAAAGATGAATGAGTTTGTCTGGATCCCAAGCTGAGGAATTGCAAAGGCACAGTATAACATTATATATGTTCTCCATATAAGTATGTAGACTACAAGTGATGAATGGTAGGTAAGTTTATTAAGCCTTGGATGTCACCTAAAGTATTTGGTCTCTGGTACTACCAGAGTCAACCACCACAAAATATTTATTTTTTAATAGAGAAATAATATGGGGCTGGGGTTGTGGTTCAGCGTAGAATGTTTGTCTAGCACATGTGAGGCTCYGGGTTTGATCATCAGCACCATGTATACATAAAGATATTGTGTCCAACATCAACTAAAAAAATATTTAAAAAATAAATAATATACTTTTGGTCTTCAGGCAAATCTATGTAAGCTATAAAGAAAATTCTATAGTTTGTAAAATTAAAAGTACCTCAGGTAACAAATTTAGGGAGAAAGGCTTATAGCTTGGTCTACTAGGTAATATAGATATATAGAAAGGCTAATGCCTTTCACAATAAAATTAAGTCTAGAGTTGCACTGCCCAATATAATAAGCTACTAGGTATAAATGGCTTATTTAAGGTTATATAAGTTAAAGTGTAAATTCAGCTCCTCAGCCACATAAACATATCAGGTGCTTAGCCATCTTTTAGGACAGTACAGAACATCAAATATTTCCATCAAATCAGAAAATTCTATTTGACAGTGCTAGTCAAAAACAAATTTGGGAGAATGAAATGTGGTTATCAAAAGAGTATGTGGAGTACACARAGAATTAATTGAAGGTGAGATAAGTTCTTTCAGAGAAACATTTTTTTAAAAAGAGTAGCCTAAGGGAAAGGGCATAAGCAATAGAAAGGAGATATGAATAAATCTAGCTTTCAAAAATCTAGCCAGCTAGCACAATAAAAGAGGTTTCTAATGCCACGGAAAAGAAAAGTTTCAGGATTGGACAGGGAAGACAAAGACAAAGATTTTGGTGATTTTGGTAAGGGATTTTTGTGGAAAGTGAAAGCCCTATTGTAGTTTGCTAAAAAATGGAGATGAAGTAGAATATTTTAGAAAAATTTAAGAAGTAACACTGTACCTTGAAGTTTAAAAAAATATATATCTGGAGCTCATTTTCTAAAGGAAACCTTTGAAAAATGAACAAAATTTTTGTTTGTACATTTAAAGTTCTAAAGAAAAAATACACATTGGAAAGGATCAGGATGCTTGCTTTTTAAAATAAGGATACATTGAAGAGTTTGAAGAAAAAGGGAAGTTGAAGAAATTCACACTTGTTAGTCTGTATGTTAGAGCTATGGGGAAAGAAAAAACCAGAGATAGGATCCTAAGTTTAGTAGAGTGCTAAGATTTGAAAATACTCTCTTAAGGGAATAAAAACTGACAGGTCATGGCATTCCAGATCCTAATGAGATTGGAATCCATGAATTAATAGTGGCTCCAGTTTACTCTTATGTGATTTTCCATAGCAATGCTGCAATGAAGTTAAATTGATGAGTCAAGAAAAGGCAGAGCAAAAAGAATCAAGAGTATTCGAGCTACAACTGCCTTACTAGCTTGCATACTCTTTGAAGACCAGAACTTTTGCAATTTCCTGGTAAAAGCACTCAAGTTTTTGTTTCATAATTAATTATTGCCTATATCCCCCTTCATTGTACACTGTTCCAGTGGATAAGACTATMGTCTTAAACTCACAATAATTCAAATTTTGTCCATGAAGGGTATGCTTTAAAAAATCTTGATTAACTTGACTGTCTAGATTTTCATTTAGTATCTCCTTTATAAAAATACTGTTTTATCTTTGCAATAGGTTTTCCGAAATTCTCTGTATCCACAAGATTATTCATCTCGTTTAGATATTGTAAGAGCAAATTCAAAATCACCTTTGCAGAGATCACTGTCTACTAAGTGTGTATCTGGAACAGGACAGGTAAGCTAAAAACCATTTGAATGCAAGTTTCTGCCTTTGGAGCTTTTCTGTATTTAAAATGTTTCCATTCAGTCATATACTTTACTCTATCAGGAGCTATTTTCTGTTTTGTAAAGGACAGAAAACTACACTCTGTTATTTCTTATCTTCTATAGTCACACATTATTCTCTGAAACAGAACTCTTTGAGAGCCGAGATGAAAAGACAGAAGAATGCTAATGTAGATTTGTTGTCTGGTATATGAAGAGCATAGATTGTAAATTCAGTTTAAATCTTGCTGTCATTTAGATTTACCCAAAAAATGAATTACAAAATGAATTACACTGAACATTTTCATGACTCCAGCAATGCAGCTCTTTAGAGAAAAAAAAGAGCCAGTTTTCTTTTTTCTTCTAAYATCCAGAAAGCCAAGAGTAACTGGACCAAGGATAGCATGCCAACTATAGTCTAGAGAGCTCTGACCTTTCTGTATCTAGCCTTCACAATTTAAAACTGAACAAAATATTTTCCAAGTACAACTTTTAGATGAAAATAGAAATCTGACTAAATACCTTCTATTTTCATTTGATTCTCTTCTAAGCATTCATTTTCTGCTTTATAGTTACATATTTCTTCCCTCAACCAAATTATATTTTACTATCTCAGCATTAATGTGTGCTTTGCACATATATTCCATAAACTTAGTCATTATATTACATATAAAGTTTTGACTATTTGAAACTAGTTAAATATTACCTAAATTAACTTATGTTTGTATAGTACATTATCCTAGGATTTTCAACATTAGCTCTATTGACTTGGGACCACGTAACTTAGGAGAAGGGTTATACTATCCTATCATTGTAAAGATATTAATTAATTAAACAGCATCACTAGCCTCTACCCACAAGATGCACAAAAAATATTAACAGTTGAAACAACCAGAAGTGTCCACTAGGAGTTATAATCACCCTTAGAAAGGGTTAAAAGCACATGCCGAACGTAAGCTGGTGAATTCAGTTCTCAATTCATTCCATTTAAGTCCCATTATTTTTATATCAGTATTTCTGTGACATGCCTAGTTGAAATATCCTTCTGTTTTTGCCATCCTTTTGATGATTTACTAATGCTGTTTTTGCAACCCAAGAATTTTTTTTTATTCATAATATACTGAGTCCATATTTTGTTACTACTTACTGGTAGCTATCTAACCAGAATTAAATGGTTAATTTCATATATATGATAAATTTCTATGTACCCTTGTAAGGGCATATAAAAAGATACCAAGAATGTAAAAATATTTTAATAAGTATCTTTATTTTTAAAATATTAATTTTTAACAGATAGCTACCTGTCGGCTAAGAAAGGATCAACAAGCAGATGATGATGATGAAGATGTTGACGAGTTAGATGTTACAGAAGAAGAAAATCAATTTTAAGTAAACCTTTTCATCTTAAATGACTTGAAATTCTGGATTACTAAACTGTAAAACTTTATATTCAGTTGATGGGCTTCACCTCAAAATGAAATCCTACTAAAATGGAAAAATAATTAAAGAAATTTATGCTCACCAAAAATGAAGGTTTTAAAAAATGATATACCCTAGTCATTTCAACATTCTACCCTAGTGTTATGTTATGTTAAGTTCCAGTTTAAAAAAAAAAGGATTATGTATTTCAAAACATTTCAGATTAATTCACTATACCTAGTTGAAGTTGCAACAATAGATAAAAAGAAAAAAAAGATTTTAACAATTCTTCATGGTTTCTTTTTAAGACTCCCTGTTTTCAACACCAGAAAAGGTATGATTACAAATTCTACTTCATAAAGCCTTAAATAAAAAGCTTTTTTTTCCTCTCTTACCTTTATTAAAACTTATGTGTCATTTGATATGTAAATTTACAGTTTTCAACAAGAGTGTAATCAAATACAATAAAGGTACTGAGGCATTATGACAATAGGTTTTACAAGTGTCCATAAAGCTTATATTTTAGTCTTAAACAAAAGTGCTATCATACCAAACAATTATATGCGGTACTGCAATTTGGAAAAAAAAAAAGTAACTTTTTGGAATGTTGCCTTGTCTTGGAACACCATGCATCACTAAAAATCTCTTTAAAATTTTGCCAAGCTATCATCTAGTTAATGAAAGGTCATAAAGTCATTCTTATTCCTAAAAATATAAAAAACTTAATCAGAACCTTTTAGTRTATGTACTGCTCTTATTTCTTTTAGGAAGGAATTATTCTTTTGTTATTTCCTGGATCCACAGATATTATAAAAATTATGAAATTTATAAAATCATTCAGGGTAACTGGAAAAAAGCAGTTATTCACAACAGAAAAATAAAAGTTTCTAGAAAGCTTTTTGACTTGTTATTCATGGTTCTGTGTTTAACAAAGTACGACTTCCTAAGACTAGTAATAATAAAATTATTTCAATGTTATTAGAAAATTCTCAAAACACTAAGTTGATATTGTTAGTAAATTTGGTGTTGTGATTCAAAGGAAAAAAACAGGGTTACAGTATTTTACTTGCTGCTTACTAAGAAGTAACTTCTCTTGAGCAACAGGTGCCTCACCTGTATAGCTAAAATGTTTTTTAATGAATCAATCAACAAATACTTCTGGAATAAAACATATACTAGGAATACTGTCAATGAAAATACCTTCATCAGTGTAAAATTAAGTTTCATTGTTTAAACTTAGTTAGGCATACTTACTCTTAAAGGGCCAGATGATAAATATTTCACATTTTGTGGTCCAAGAAACACAAACTAAGGTTATTATACAGTTACTTATGTAACCACTTAAGATATAGCCACATTTAAGAGTGTAAAAACCTTTCTTAGCTTCCCTGCTGCAAGCAACCAACCCAAGTTACTTAGCCTGTAGGTCTTCATCACTTTAGTGATGATCATCCTGATCAAGTGATAGTACTTCATATACAATTATAGATCATAAATATAAATGCAGTATCTAACGCAGTCCACTATTTAATGCATAGACAGAGGCATAGATAGAGTCAACAAGTCTTCAGAACTCTAGTGCTCTTAACTATGATAAAAATCATATTTGGGAATATATTTCTACCTATCTCTTGATTATGGGATTAAGTTTACTTTCTAAACATGGTTTAATATTTTTCAGATACCTTCTAGACAAAATGTTTGGCTTTCAGACACTGGGTGTCATGATAGAGAATTAATATGCTATTTCCAGTGTACCTAATACATCTCTGGGCAGGACAGAAAGGAAAACTGGTTTTGAAATGACAGTTACAAAGGATGTAACACACTGTCTGAAATTGTGATGTGCTGATAAACTGGTTATCTGGGATGACAAAGGGAGGAGAATGCCCTGATTTGCTACATTTACCAATCTGGTATAAATAACTGCTTCCAAGGCCAATTTCAGTCATCAACGTATCACTGAAAGCTGAGTGGGAAAGAGACAGGCAAAAATGGCTCCCAACCAGTAGAAGCCAGCTATCTATAATTAACTTTTAATAATGTTGAAAAATATTAAGCCCTAAAATGTTACAGAATAAAATATTGACATCATTTAATTTCAAAATTAAAATACAAACTTGTTATTTACCATAGCTAGCCTCTCATCTACCTCTACCATCCCATCCCAGTTTGAAAAACAATCACATATTAGGTGATTTTTCACTTTAAGCTTTATCTTACTTAGCTTAATGCTGAGAGTGGATTCAAGTCTTCCATTCATTACTCAAGAAGGTTTAATAAAAATAAACCATCTATAATCATTAAGCAATTTAAAATATTATTTCTATTTTGTTCATTGTGCTTGGTTTAGATATTCCAGTTTTATGATTCTACCTATAAGCTTACTTACTAGTTTAAAGAGCCACCAGAGGTGCTCTTTGAAAACCAAACTGAGTAGTTTCACTATTAACCATAGAAATTTAAGTAGGCTTCTGTTGAATTTCTTTATATCAATGAAAATTAACCCAAGATATGTGTTGTTAGTAACTGAAAAAGTAGTCTACTTCTGCAGTATCCTATAATTAATAATTAAACTACCATGAAACTTTCAATTTTATTCTTTTCTTTACTCAATGTGGAAAAATCCCTGCATCAAAGAATTGAAGAAAATTAACTTTAAATTTTATACAAACTATGAAAGACCAAGCAGTCAAATCGTGTTGGATGAAATGAAAAATTTTGAATTAGAAGCCTATATATAATGTGAGTATCCCAAGAGAAACCCTACATATATAAAAAACTCTTAAAGCTACTTTCTCCTTGTTTAACAATGTCTGAGCACTCTAGTTTTATCATTTTTTAAACTAACAATGAAGGTAAGAAAATAGCATTTACTCTTGAAAATATTTCCAGCATGGTCTTCCTGAAATTAAAAATACCACTTAACAAAGTGAGGCAGTGAAAGTATTAAAGAACATACTCTTGAGTAAGTGGTCTGTTTTGGGTAATTGGCTCCATGGCTTACTGTGACTTCAGGCAAGTTGCTTAACTCTCAAAACTTTATTATCTCATTTGGGATAAAAAATAATATTATCACAGAGGTAAATAATAAATCCTGTACCTTTTAGGGAATACTGAGATCATGCATATAAAACACTTATCATGCCTAACACATAGAAAGTGATCCATAAATGTCAGCCATGGGAATTGCTATGGGTAAAGAAAATCAAATCCAGTATTTGCAAAAATGTCTGCACTAAATGTTAAATATCAAAGTAAAAATTCAGTCTTACAACTCACATGAAGTCAGTCTTTGGATACAAGGTTTGAAGCTAAAATATGAGAACCTAAAAATAAACAAGTTATGTAAATCATCAGTAACTTCTTCCTAGAAAAACTATATCCATTTATCAAATTCTTCCCAGCAAAGACCCGAGAATCCCCCTAGTACCTTATTTTTATTGTCTTTTGACAAGACTATTTCATGTTAATTTCATCAATCTGATTAATAAGAAGTTGCAGAAACCACTGAACTATACATATTTCAGAATGTCTGGTCCCTCCCATCAAAAATGTAGTTTAATAGAGCTGTTGAAAAACCATAATACCCACTGCAATACTTTTATACAAATAAGTTAATTAGTTAAGTCTCTTCAGTTGTAATTTCTTTTATTTTTAAAAAACTTTGCAAAGTTATGAACATGGAAACTTTAAGAATCCCCTAAGCTTTTTACACAAATAAATTTCAATTTCACAGTCTGTTCATTTTTAACTATTTATAATTAACAGGAGACCTTAACACAGCAATATCTCAGACCAGAGGGCATGAATTCTGCAGGCAGGTAGTGATGAAAATGCCAAACCTGAAAAATTAGTCACTGACCATTTCCTTATTACAGTTTCAGTAATATATGCTGACTACAGAATGAAATAAAAGTGAATATAAAATTTATTTTTCCCAACTACAACTCCATATAAGTCTGAGATTTACCCATAACATCAACAAAAATTAAACACTGCCCTAGCAAAGAAAAAAAAAAGCATATATAATTTTAAGTTAGAAAAAAAATAAATGGCAATTTGCAAGCAAAAGAAGCAGATTCACATTCAACTATTTACAGTTTTTCTATGCACAGGTCAAAATTAAACTGTTTCACCATATAACTAAAAATAAACACTTTTTTTAAAAAATGCATTTTACTGCATCAATACTGTGGGATTAGAAATGCTCTCTAAAGCAAAATTAGCTTAACTTTGCGGGGGCCAACTGGCCTATCATTTAGATCTTTAATAGCAGCCATGGCTTCATTATAGTTTATCATAGCTACAATGGCTTCCCCTGTAGGCAATCCTTGCTCATTATACTGTATTGAAACTGAATCAGGTATGATTCTATAACCGTGGAAAAAGTCTAAAATTTCATTAACATTAGCTTTAAATGGAAGATTCATTATCTTAACAGGAGTTACTCTACCTGAACCACAGTTTAACTTCTGATCAGGCATAAATCTCCCTTCAGGAAAACCTCCCATATTACGCTTTCCAAAATCAAATTTGCCACCTTCTGGGCGACCAAAATTGACAAAAGGGCGATGACTTCTAAAATCATCAGGTGGGCTCCTAAAATCCTCACCAGGAGGTCTGAAATTGTCAGGAAGTCTAGGATCCTCCTCTGGAACTTCCCTGGGGTCTTCCTCCGGGAGCTGCCTGAAATCCTCATCAGAAGGGGATCTAAAATCTTCCTGGGGACTCCTGAAGTCCTCATCAGGAGGGTGTCTGAAGTCCTCATTTGGAGGGCCCCTGAAGTCTTCATCTGGCATATGTCTGAAATCTTCCTCTCGGGAGCGCCTGAAATGCTCTGGGGGTGGTCGCCTGAAATGCTCTGGGGGTGGTCGCCTGAAGTGCTCTGGGGGTGGCCGCCTGAAGTGCTCCTGGGGTGGCCGCCTGAAATGCTCCTGGGGTGGCCTCCTGAAGTGCTCCTGGGGTGGCCGCCTGAAGTGCTCCTGGGGTGGTCGCCTGAAGTGCTCCTGGGGTGGTCGCCTGAAGTGCTCCAGGGGTGACCGCCTGAAGTCCTCCTCAGGGGA